ATGTTGACTTCACTTTAATTCGTAATGAATTGAAGACAGAAGAAATGCATTTTACCTTAATACACACATCTGTAACAGTATCCGAAATCGGAAGTCATCAGTTGCAAGTTTGTTGATAATAGAAATTAAAAATTATTGACGAATTTTTCTTCAAATGTTTGGCGTGTTCTGTTCCTGAAAGATTTACTAATATTCTGGAGATTTTTTTCAAGTTCTTCGGCCTTTTCCTTAGGGAAATTTTGTTTCTTATTTGCTGCTAAAAAATGGCGTCTGATTCTGTCAATGACTTGGATGGAACTAAATGAAAACGTGATAAATTAATGTCTGATATTTACAGGCTCCCGCTAGACGGCGTACTCGAGCGTTGCGATCGCGAATGGGGTACTTGCACTTCAAGAAGAAGAAGGCTTTCCATATATACAAATGTGACCTATGACTAGCGCCAGCTAATCGTTATCAGCAAAATGGAGAATTAAAGTTGCGCTAAGTTTTTCTACATAAGCTAAAATGTTAGTTACCTATAATTTAATTAAACATAGACGCGTTTCCCATATCGAATTAGTTGAAATATAATTCTTTTTCTTCTACGTTTTTTACTTAACTTAGATTTATTAAAAGTTTTTGTATTTTATTGTAACAGTGACATATTTTTGTTTTGTGTACCTGGCAACTTCGATGCATAATTAGTTTGTTTATGTTCCACGTGGCTTCGTGCTAGTCTTTGTCTTAAACATTTGTGTAAATGCATAAAGAAGGAATTGAAATCTTTGAGAAAGAATTTATGCGAAAAAATTAAGAATGTGCCACTTAAGAGAATTGATACTTGATGGACTTGGCTTACTCAAAATAGAATAGAACGAACAGCTATTAACGTAAACAAATGTCACGTTTCAACAACCAATCAGGATCGAGATACCCAGACTACGTCACTTTCAGGTATCCCATTGACGTTTCAGTTTTACAGAGAGAGTAGATAGTTTTTTTTTTACCAATGACTCTTTCTCCCATTCCTCCAAGCTCCAAGTAGGCATCGTTGAATGCTTCCTTCATGTCCTCGTCCAGAACTTTCTCCTTTCCGTGGATGAAGATGGTGGAACAACGATCCAAAATTCTTTCCGGTGCCCCCTTCATGCACAACAAGTAACCAGAACCATCTTCCAAATCGTGAATAGTCACCTGTCAGTTAGAAAGAGAGAGAAGAACTATTATTGGAAAGGTCTGTCTTTTACATATGTTACGGTAAAAGTGATAAATCGGGTTATTATTAATAATTACCGGTCATTATTAATAATACCTGCTTCGTTTAGTTAATAATGACCGGTAATTAATAATTACCGGTAATTATTTATAATAACCGGCTATTAATAATAATGACCAATGAAGTTTGATAAATGTGATAAGACGGTTTATATAGCATTGAGACATGAATGTGCCTCTTTGTATATATGTTACGGTTAAAGCAGAGATGCCAATTGCTCCAGACCCGCCATTATTATCTAAAAAATAACTATAACAAAATGGCGAATTATATATGCCTTCGAATTATTTCAAAATAGTGGTGGATAAAAATCTAATTAAATGACTTTATTGCATCAAGAAACACACATTAATAAATTATCACTCAAAAATATTTATTTGCTTCCCGGAGCAAGTTGGCATCTCTGTCAAAGTGATAAATCCGGTTATTATTAACACAAATTGTCAAATAATAACGGCTTCTTTTGGTCAAAGTGAGAAATAAAAACGTGAACGAACTTGTTGTTGTTGTAGTTCATTTACGTCGCACTAGAGCTACAGAATGGGCTATTGGCGACTGTCTGGGAAACATCCCTGCGGATGATCCAAAGACATGCCATCACAATTTTGATCCTCTGCAGAGGGGATGGCACCCCCGATTCGGTAGCCCGACGTGAAACCTCCGCGAAGCCACCTGCACGCTAAGTTAAGCACTTTACGGTAGAACAGTCTAACGAGGACCAATACCGCACACCATCGGTCCCTACGCAGACTGATCCAAGTGGTCACCCATTCGCACACTGACCGCAGTCAGTGACGCTTGACTTCGGTGATCTGCTGGGAACCGTGTCTTAGCGATCAGTTCACTGCGGGACGCAAACGAACTTGTATTGCGTTCGGTGTGAATTACAATGCGGGAGGAAATTTTAAACTGCATTTGATGAGTTTGCTGAAACAGCTTATGGTTTGGTTATACCAGGAACAGCCTATACCGGACAGTGGCACTTAATTTTGAAAATAATAACATCCGTGTAGGGTATACCGGGCAATTGTTTCCAGGCAGTTGCACTAAACTAAACTCAGCGGCGCGACAGCCCTTGCGGGCCAATGCCAACTGTGCCCATCTCAGTTTTCTTGACCTTGGGCTCTGAGGTGCAGGAGCAGATGTTCCGGTCAGGTGGTCAGCCGAACGCGGAACCCCCAGTGTTTAGTTCCCAAGCGTGCTTGGTACTCATTTATCGACCCACTGAAGGGGTGAAAGGCTGAGTCACCCTTGTCCGGCCCGAGGATCGAACCAGGGACCTGTGGCCCGACAGCGCGAAGCGCTACCGCTTAGCCACCGGGCGTAGCAAACCAAACTTATATACTTCTATAATTGCAATACTGAAATCCTTGACCATCTAAATTAGAATCCTTACGAGAGCCAAGTTTACACAAATTTTCATTTTTACCTTCTTTTACGTTGAGCATGTCTAAATAGTTGCTAAAACGTGATTTCATGACTTCTAAATAGTGATCGTGTCGTTGCAAAATTTGTTAAAATAACTACCTTATTTTGCGAAAAACTCTAATGTAAATGCAAAAAAAAAAATGACAGAAAAGGATCGGGAGTCCATATCTTACTATATATAAAATTCTAATGATGGTGTCGCAGTTTTCCATTGTTGTCGGCTCATTTTTATTGGCCAGAAAATCACGTGGTAGGATCCAGTTTTCCCCCATTCATTTCCTTATTGTTTAGGCTGTCATCAGCATAAAATTAACAAAAGTCGTAGAGGTATTGTTTTCCTTTAAATATTTTTGTATCCCTAACTTAAAGTTATTTTTCAGTACTGCTATTATTAGCGAAAATTTTAAATTATGGTTGAGAACTCCTCAAATTTGTTTGAACAATATAATGTATTAAGAATATAAATGTTATTTAAAAAATTGATGATTAAAAGAATCACTTCTGTTCACCAAGAGATCTATATGTTTATAATACTAATAGATAGTAATATTTAGACGTGGGAAGTAGAGGCGCAAAAGCGTAAGTAAACAGAATTCCTTTTAGTACATACATGTTAAGTGAATATTTTTAACTTTAGTGGGAAAACTGTTTTCTGCCAAGAAAAAGCAATTATTGCGAATCAATCATTGGGGTTGGTGAGCGGTAGCGAACAGGGGTCTTTGCCCCCTAGTTCTAAAATAAACAATGAGCTCATTTTGTCATGCTGTTGCCAACCATTTACCAATTGCCAACACATTAAAAAATGCGAAAGAATTACGTCTACCTAACTTCATTGGTTACTATTAATAATAACCGATTAATTTAAAGAAATTCGCTTAAATTAATCACTTTCACCGGCTTCTTTGGTTATTATTAATAACTACCGGTTATTATTAATAATAAATTAACATTATGATTGTTTAATTGCAGTAATTGCGCTAGTTCCATATGAAACTCGATCGCTGTTCCGTTTCAAAATTATATTTATTTTAACTCTATAATTTAGTTAAGAGAAGTTAAATAATCAATAAAATTTCAATAGTATTTTTTAAATACTACTACTACTACCGATAATAAGCTACATTCTTTAGCGCTGAATTCATCAAAATCTATATAATACCAATTTTTTCTGCCAACAGAACTGCAGTTTTACGTAGAATAAAGCATTTTAAATCGTATGTCACAGCTTTGAAGAGATAGTCTACGTCCATTGTTAGCGAGTGTTTTGAACTCATGGATTTTTGCAAAATCTCTTATTTTCACTCACGTAAGTTTGATATTTCTTCCACGAGTGCATGAGCATTTCACCAGAACTGATGCATGCACACTAGAAGTGCGCATACGCAATTTTTTGAAATCTTTATGCACGGGATCGTACGGAAGCGAACGTAAATTTGCGAAATCTCCCTATTCATCCTCGACTGCGTATAGTTCTATTTTATTTCGTTACAACATTATACAAATAGATTTCTAAAACAATCTAAAAGCTAAGGTTAAGCACGTTAGGTAGAAATTTAATCCGTGCTATCTTTTACAAAAAGTATCATAGAATTATTAATAATAAAAAATGATTACAGTTTTAATGGAATTCTGGACTTGCCTGGAATGAAATCTGGACCTGGAATCTACTGACAGAATCCAAAGTACACAGAAATCGGAGTTTTTGGAAGCGAAAAGAATTTACGAATGGTGTGAATGCTCGTGAGTTTGGGTTCAACATTTTCCTTTTGGGCTTAAATATTTTTCATTAGATTTTTTAAACTTCCATTGTTTAGATTTTACAACATTTAAAGGGAACATTAATGTGATTTTTTTAGAACATTTGGATGTCAAAAGTGGAGAGAAAGCTTTGGGGGGAATGACAAGAAAGCTGTTGCTCTATGAACTTTCGGCAATGAATATTTTTGCCTTACTTTTGCAATTTACTCATAAAAAAGTATTTTTTTTAAATAATATTTTATCATGGTTCGTTATAAATTCTTTATTCCCCAACGCAATCAATGAAGAGCCACCCAGACAGAATGACAGCACCCGTTACAGTTGTCAAAAGTAAAAATTGAGCTAAAGCATCTGAAGAAGTTGAATTCCGTTTATTATGGTTAGTATAATCAACAATTCAACTATTAATTCTTGAAAGAGTTTATATTAAAGTAGAGTAAAGGAGGATTACTTACATGATATTTGTTTGAAGAATTAAACGGAATTTCACACACTTTAGTGTTCTTTTGTCTGTATGTAGATACGCTTCCAATGGCCAATTCCATACATTTTAAAATAGCAGATTCCGATGCATCTCCAATGCAATCTCTACAAAACAATGATTAAAAACTTGCATTCAACTTTTAAATCATAAAATGACGTAAAAAACTTTTTTTCTTATACTTATGAAGAAAGAAAATCTAAGTCAGAGAAAATTTTACCGTTTAAGTACTGGAATATTTTCTTGTCCACCTTTGAATTCAGCTTTACTGCAGAGACAGGCAACCCTAGCCAATGCTTGCCATCCAGCTGAGCTCTTATCATATTGTACACCTGCAACACAAATTGCACATATCACTACCTTGTATTTGTTGGACAAAATTATTTAAGAAGACCTATTATTGCTTACAAATTAACTATGCTTTTTCAACTATATATAGAGAGGAAAAGGTGTAAATATGGGCACCCTCTTTTGTTTTTTTGATAAAGTTACTTTCAATTTGAAAAATTCTAGATTTTTGTCTTTCATTAACAACTATAACAAGTTTCCTAAATGCTAGAAGGCAAGACAATGGCTAACATCAATTATTTCATTTGAAAAACGAAGATTTTCAAAAATCTTTCAAAAAAGCACCAGAAAAAATGGGGTGCAAATATGGGCCCTCTTCAAAAAAGTTACCAAAAATAGTTTAAAAACATGATAAAACATTACAAAATGGTAGAGAATTTATTTATTACAGGAAAAAAAATTATTTGCAGAAATCGCAAACATAACTGGTTCTTTCAGCCCCGGCACAATCTAAGTGTGCCGACATTTCGCCACATTTCACCCACACCTCTTCCCGAGTGTCTTCAGAGAACAGTCCGACGATGAATCGTATCGTTGCATTTCCTTTTTTGAAGGCCTTTCTTCTTCCCACCCTTGCCCCCTAGCCGGTCTCTTACCCCGGGAAAACTCAAGGACATCTTCTTGAGAGCACTTTTGTCAAGCGACTTGGTCAACTGATCCTTGTATGGTGATGAGTCTGGACCTTGCTGCTTTGCGTCCACGAATAGTGGTTCTTTTCTGAAGGATTTTCACGTGGTTATCTCTGGCCAAGTCAATGACGTCTGGATTTCGACCATCTAAGATGAGTAGAACAGTCCTTTGTTCAGTAGGAATGAATGAAGTGAGTGAACCATTCGGAAAACAAATTGTTTTGGACCCATCCTGAATGATGGACTCTACTAATTGCACCATCAGGACATCCTCTCATTAGAACTTGGGTCATGTTTGTTCTGGGTCTTGCTGTTTCGCGTAAAAATTTACTGAAATTTTTTTGTTGTTTAAAAAAAGGTGGTGTAATTATGAGAACCCTTTAAATGGGGGCCCATATTTACACCAATCCCACTTAAAAAAGATGGCCACTATCACATGTAACCTAAAAGCATGCATGACTAAGGGTGTGCTTCAAAAAGTTGCTTAAGAGCCCCGCTTTCCGGATATCACTGTGAAATTATTTTTAACTAAACATAAGTACATGAAAAGAAAACGATTTCACATGCCTCTCAAAAGTTTGCAATCCAGAATAAACACCAATTTGCACAAATAACTCACGCTTCATCCACACTACTTGAAAGAATGGTTCAAACTGTTCTCTACTATCTTATATTAGCAAATGGCGCCATCTACAGTCCTCGCCGCCAGTCTTCAGTACCTCCCATAGTCACTAGGGAGGGGTGCCCATATTTACACCTTCTCCTCTA